ATTCAACTTCTCAGATGCCCTTCCTTCCTTCCTTTGGTTGGACTGAACAAAGCGGAGAGAAAGAAGACACTTGAAGGATACAAGTATTTAGTCGTATTCTACGGCTTTTCTTCAACGGCGTAAATATATGGAATACTTAATCGGTTTTTGAAAGAGAAGGACAGAGCATTAATTTTAGTACGCCAGAAACCAAGATTACAAGATAGATGACACTAAAATGATGAAACATTCACAGATTAATTATTTTGTGCGTCGGTGGCACAGCAGTTAGGACTCTCGCCAATCATGCACATGGTCCGAGGTTCGATCCCCCGCCGACGCACACCTGATATCAATGGTGGGCCTGCTAAATTTGGGCTACCGATATCACACGCTGAAAATTTCATACTTGTACCAAAATACTGTGTGGAATCAAGCTATAATAAAATAGAAAATAAAAATAAAAATACATAGTATGGTATAAAGTTCGGAAGTCAAGAACGTAGGGAAACAGCTCGAATACTCCGGGATGAGTATCTACTGATAATTAAAAGTAAATAAATAAATTAAAAAGTTTAATAATAACAAATTCAATTTACTAATCGAGAACCAAACTTCAACCATCAGGTTGTGACGTAACAGACGATAAGTGTCAGTTTAGGTCAAAACTTACTTCAACTAGAAAACGATTAAAACCAGAGAGTACTATGCAGCTGTTTCGTCCTAGTCTGAGACTCTGCAGTAGTACGCAAGCATGACCCAGTCGGGAATCGAACTCATGACTTTCAAGGTACGAGGTGAGCCGCGATGACCACTTCAAAACTGGAATGGAATTCGATAGTCGATGAATTTTAACTTCCGGTGATTCCAGATATATAGGGAAAGGGCCAGTCAATGTTATCGGTGGATATCTGTCCCCCTATCCGTCTTACCGGACAGCATCGGTCACAATTTGCCACCTGAACTACCCACAACTTCATTCGGTAGTGAGTAACTAGTAAGTAAAATTTTCGTTTTGAAATGTTGGTTTTCAAGGGTTTGATTAATTTGAATTTTCAAGTATTGCTTTTGGTAGGGATTTAGTTTAATTGCATGGAGGATTTCATCATGAGCTGACATCAGTTAGAGAACCACTGGAAAACCTGGGAGTACTGGACAGCTGTTTCGTCCTAGTTTGAGACTCTTCAGCGGTACGCGCCCACCGGAATTCGAACCCAGGACCTTCTGGTTACAAGGCGAGCTCGTAGACCATTGAGCCACTGGGACCCGATCCAATTGTCCTTGAATTCTAACTTCTGCCAATTCACGACATAGCGCGACCATTTCGCAATGTCTTCTTAGATGAGTTACTGCCTCATCTTCAACCTGCTTTACCCTACTGGTCACGGCTTCCCACTAGAACCCCAGGTTAACTGCCTGAATAGGGCCAGTCACTAGTGAGCATCAGATTAATTTTCAAGTATTGGTTTTGGTAGGGATTTAGTTTAATTGCATGGAGGATTTCATCATGAGCTGAATTTGAATTTATTTCACTAGCTAACAGAAGTTAGAGAACCACTGCATGCAGATGTTTTTTCATGATCCAAACTGGAATCAATCAAATTCCTGCAAACCAGCACTTGAAAAACAAGCGATTCAAGTTATCAGATGAACTGATGAATTTTAATTGCATTCCTTTGTGTCATAGAACACAAATTCAAGCCTCAACTTTGAAGTCTCAGCAGAAGTAGTGTTCCTTTTAACAGGGTCAGGTTTCCCAACTCATACCAAATCTTACCTCTCTATCTGACTTGCATCTGGGTAAACGAGGTTTAGAAGTGCGTTGGCGAGTGATCGAACCTCGAATCACGTGAGGTGTGATTGACGAAAATTCTACTACTGAGTCACTACTGAAATGTAACCAGTTTTCACCCGTCATGAAAACTAAATGGGAAAAAGTAAAACTCACCAACAAGAAACTATGGGAACAAACAAAACAAGAACCAATCGCTCAACAAATATCCAGGAGAAAGTGGAGATGGATTGGACACTCGCTGATGAGGCCGCTGGGTGATATCGTGCGTCAGGCCAGTGCTTGAGTGGAACCTGAAGGGGAAGCGGCAAGTGGGACTTCCAAGGGTGATATGGAGGAGTTCGTGTGAAGAGGAGTTGAAACAGTGTGGGCTAACATGGATGCAGGTGAAAAGTACAGCAGAAGACAGAAACAAGTGGAGACGTGCAGTTGAAACCGTATGTTCCACTAGGAACTCAAGGGAACAATAATAATAATATAAAACTAACTCAACTTTAAAAGAATTTACTTGCTACAAGACTGATTTCAGTGTATAGCATAAAATACTCATTCAGTCTTTGCTGTACTAATATCATCCTTACTGAAGCGTTCTTTTCAATTCAGCTTGATATGATTATGAACAACAGACAGACTAGAAACTAAACTCACTTGGTTGGAGGATTCCATCGTGAGCTGACATTAGTTAGAGAAACATTGGAAAACCTGCAGGGAGTACTGGACAGCTGTTTCATCTCAGTTCAGGACTCTCCGACAGTACGCACTTTCCATCAGGGTTCGAACCCACCATCTTCTGGTTACAAGGCGAGCTCGTAGACCATTGAGCCACTGAGAGCTGATCGAACGGCCAGCCCATGAATTCTAACTTCTGCCAATTCATGACATAGCGCTACCACTTCTCAGTGTCTTCTTCGATGAGTTACTATACCATATCTAATATGGAAGCTCCTGGATTTGATCCTTAGTGAGGTCGTGGGGTACGTACTGATGAAGTGTCCTAAACTAAGACAAAACATCCGTCCAGTAGTCCCTGTCAGTTTTCAATGATTCTCTAGCTGATATCAATCCGTGGTCAAACTTGAAATTATTTATACACATAGCCAAGTCGCCCAACGTTCTATGTTTACATTAAAATTCCTTTGTTGGATTTTTCTTTCTAAATTATATATTAGATTTTACGTCAATCAACTGTTGGCTAACAACCAAACGTTTATTATTATTTGTTTTTAAGTAGTGTTTAAGATTTGATTTGATAAAGCTTTTGATACTCTAATTTTAGGTATCTTTCTTGTCAAGTAGTTTGTATTCCCTTTTAGATATGTTGTAACTATCTATTACATTTGGATTAATAACACCAATAATCATAGAGATAGCGAATAATTATAATGTTTACCGATAGATAGATTATTGATTTATTTAAAAAAATGGATAGATAGGTCATATAATCTAGCTGCCTTATTCAGACTACTCAGCATGAAGTTAAATTCCGAAATAATTATTAGTTAATTATACGTTTTGTTTTCTATTGATGGCTAATAAAATTCTTTCACTCGGCAAGATCAATATTAATTAATATTTTAAATATTTCATTCAGTAACACTTAAATATTCCAGTTTCCATCTAAGTACCATCATTGTAGATGAATAATTATAGCTATTCATGGAACAGAGCATAGTATAGTAGTCAAATCTCTCTATGTCTACCTCAACCTCATTAACTTTGGAAAAGCCTTCCAAAACGTCGACTGTGAAGTAGTTTCGAGATTAATCCAGCACGTCTGACTGCTGTATCGTAAACATTTAAAAACTTTACTTTACATCTATTTGATGACGCTACAAGGCAGGTAATCCACAACCAATAAGAATACTGTATAAGATCTGGACTTTGCTGATGATTTATGTCTGATGTGACAGAAACCCAAAGATCTACAGGCGGAAACTTAAAGGCTGACAGAAAAGGAAGGGAGGATAGAACTTCAACTGAACATAAAGGCGACGAAGATATATAACCAACAACGACAACAAGCACCAGTCACTATCAACAGGAGAAATCAGGAAGAAATTAGCCCCTTCATTTATCTAAGTAATATTATTTCAACTACTGGTGGTACAGATGCGGATCTCAAAGGCGAGGAAGGCAGATCTTCATTACTACGAAACCAGTGTGGTAATCTGCTACACTGACCATAAGGTACAAGATCCGAATTTTCAACGATCAGTAACTCTGCATGGTTCAGAGTCTCAGTGTGTCATCAAACATATTTCAGATTTTTCACTAAAAGCTGCCTTCACTCAACACCGAAGACCGGATAGCCGGCTGGAAAGGATGAGCGACAAAGAACTCTGGAAACGAACCAACTATGAAGATATTGCTCAAGAAATATCCTGGAGAAAATGATTTGTTTTGGATATACTCTGAGGAGACCGTTAGGTGACATCATGTGCCTGAGAGTTCCACGCATGGAGCCTAAATTGGAAACAACGAGTTGTGGGTGGGTGAGAGTCTGACTTTTAGGAGGTCGTGTGAAGAGGAAATAAATGTTCAGCCAACTAAAAAATGCTGCAAAGAATAAAGAGAAATGGAGATGTTTCCAATATTAACTATAACAGCTTAACGTATGACTTTTGGATATATAAAGTGGATACTAACTCTCACAGAATCTTTTTTTGTTGACGGTTAACCAGAAAGAGATAAAGAAATAAAAAGAGAAACAACTTTAATAGCTGATGAAGTTACAAGCATGATAATGACTTCTACTACGCTTTGCGATATCAAGTTGTTGAAATTATCAGTTGAACAAAATTGCTAAAAGGTGAATGTAGCCGTGACCAGTAGGGTGCAGCAGGTTAAAGGTGAGGCAGTAACTCATTGAAGAAGACAATGCAAAGTGGTCACGCCATGTCATGAATTCATAGAAGTTAGAATTCATGGGTCATTGGATCGGGTCCCAGTGGCTCAATGGTCTATGAGCTCGCCTTGCAAGCAGGCGGTCCTGGGTTTGAACCCTGGCGGTGGGTGTGTACTGTGAAGAGATCGAAAGTAGGATGAAATGGCTATCCAATACTCCCAGGTGGTTTTCCAATGGTTCTCTAACCGATTTCAGCTCATGATAAAATCCTCTAAGCAAAATAAAAGATAGACAACATGATACGATTATCTTTGCGAAATACATTCATGTCTCCGTTCATAAAATGTATTCATGAATTATTTTATTTTGAATTCTTTTATCTAGGTACACAGAGAACAGACCCGTATCAACCGATTCAATCATTATGTGGAGATGTGAAAAAATCACCTAGTACAGCAACATTACTTCCTACATGGTGAGTAGTAAATGTTTGTTCTGACAGAAATAAGCACATCTGTACACTAACTTTCCTGTTAACTTCTACTGTGATTAGAAGCATACTATGGTCAGTAAAGAGTAATTAATCAATTCCATCTCTTGTTCTACGACTCTTGTACTACGGCGTACCCCAAATATTCATCAACCTTATTCAACAGCTGTAAGACAACGGCACATGTCAAGTGATCCACAACGGAAAACTCAGAGAGGTGTTTGGAGTAAACACAGGAGTCAGACAACGGTGCTTATTATCACCAATGATATTCCTAATTGTGGTGGACTGGATTATGCGTCAGACAGTGGAAAACAAGAAAACAGGAATATCCTGGACCGATGTGAAGAACCTAGAAGACCTGGACCTTGCGGATGATTTGTGTTTGATGTAACATAAAATCGAAGACTTACAAGCGAAAACCGACAAACTGGTCAAAGAAGCAGCAAAAACAGGACTCCAGGTGAACATAGACAAGACGGAAGTTATGAAAATAACCAACCAACAACAACAACAGCAGCAGCAACATCCAGTGCCAATCACCATCAACGGAAGGGATTTGAAAGAGGTTACTTCATTCACTTATCTAGGAAGCATTGTCTCAACTACAGGAGGAACGGACGAAGATGTTAAATCGAGAATCGGAAAGGCGAGAAACACATTCATCAACCTGAAATCAGCCTGGAAATCTTCGTCACCTAACTCAGCATCAACAACAAAATTCGGATTTTCAATACAAACGTCAAGTCAGTGAGTTCTACTATACAGATGGATCAGAAACTTGGCCATTGTGTCACAAAGAATATTTCCAACAGCCCGTTGCAGACCTTTATCAACAGCTGTCTTCGTTCTATACTGAAGATCAGATCAGGCCGGAAAGAATCACCAACAAGAAACTATGGGAACAAACGAAACAAGAACCAGTGGCTGAATGGTATACGAACCAGCTTGCCTTATAACCGGAAGGTCCTGGGTTCGAATCCCATTGGGTGCGTACTGCCGATGATTCCCAAACTAGGATGAAACAGCAGCTGTCCAGTACAAGAACCAATCGCCCAACAATTGTGCAGGAGAAAGTGGAGACGTACAGTTGAAGCCCTATGTTCCACTAGGAACCCAAGGGAAAAATAATAATAATATCTCTTGTTCACCGTATAGGTTTTGTTATCTGACGGCGTCTCCTTTAGATTTTCAGTTAAAAATCAATCACTTTTGTAATTTCAAATACATTTCACTTATCTTGTCAACTTTGCTGCATTAACCCCAGCCGTCAACAAAATTAAAACAAGTGGAAGAATTTAGTTAAATTATAGTTAGTGAAAAGGTGCTATGAGTGAATTTTCTACTATTTTTGCACAAAAATAAACTGTTAATATAAAATTGATTCCTTTCGTTACGAGTAAAACATGGGGTTTCAGTGACACATCTTCATCCTGTAACCAATCAAATCCCTGCAAACCAACACTCGATAATATCTCCATTTCACTCGTTCCTCTACCGTTACTTTCAGCTGTTTCCATGACCGTCATTATTATGTTCAATTGAAGTCCTATCTTCTCTGCCATTTCTACCAACTCGCCAGATATCACTTGCATATTTTCGAGTTTATGCGACATGTGTCATAAATAATCTGTGAAATCCAAGTTTTATATGGGTCCACTGTAGGCTTCTCGTCTCACTCTTCATGCATTTGCCTCATGGTTCAGAAGATAGTCGTTGTTACTACACAGTTTTATCCTAAGCATGATTTCATTCCATTTAAGAATTTAGGGAGTCCACTTCGTTACATGTTTCCTCATAACATCTAAACACTTCTATACCATACCTCCACATCTTTTTGTGTAATCCGAGCCATCTAGCTATCTTCATACATGATGTGGACATTTCATGTCCTGGTACTTACTCGCACTTTCTTTAAAATAGGATATCAATCAGTGAGCTTTCCGAAGTTGTTTACTCACCGGCGTCATCAGTTCTCGAACTGAAGAGTCTTCCTGACTCCAGGGGAAAATAATCTTATTTTTTGAAGTTTGTGTCATTATTGGGATGTTCTTTACCAGATGAGGTAGCTAACTCCACTCCCTACCTTCCCCGTTTTCTAGGCTTGAGACTGCCTACTAAACTAGGAGACGTTGACACAAAAAGAAAGCAAAGTTATATTATATAAAGCGAAGTGAAGCATATTTGTAGTCGTATAACTTTGAAGCCAGGTTATGGCAGACATGCAATTATATTTTTTGAGCATATCTTTTCACAAATCAAAGATGAAACCTCATTGCACCTTGTAGTCTCTCGGCCTACCACTTCACTCACTTACTCTTACCCTACATAAATGTCAGTCATGTCTGTAACGCATTAGTTTCCGAGTTCTTAACTATGTAGTCAATTAATACGTGTGTAGAATTCTTTGACTTTTTTTCGAGACTAAAAGTATATCATTATGGCATATCACCTGCTTTCATGATTGCCATTCATGGTATCAATGTAGATCACATGTACATTATGATCGAAAAGTCTTGGTTTCGAAAAGAAATTATAGTCAGTTCTCATCTGAGAACGAACCAAGCAGAAACGAATTGTGCAACAAATATTCAGGAAGAAATGGAGGTGAGTTGGCCATACTCTGAGAAAACAATCCATCAAGTGACATCACACGCCAGGCTCTCCCTGTCAAGTGGAACCTGAATGGGAAGCGGTGAACTGGTCTTCAGTGTGAGGGTGACATGGATGAGGTGATGTGAAGAGGAGATGAAAGCATGTGGGTAGATGTGGAGCCAGTTGAAAACCTTGGCACAGAACCGAATTCAATGGAGATGTGAGGCTGAACCCCTATGTTCCTCTAGGAACTGAAGGAATCAAAAATATTAATCGCATCTCTAAAACTGTATAGCCTCAAAATTGGAAAGCTGATTTGATCCATCTATAAATTTAACAGTTGCATGAAATAATATCACTTTTTATTTAGTTTGTCAACGATTACACTACAATTTTTTATGACTGATGGTAATTCACTAACTGATGATAGTTTTACTTATATGTGACCATTTGGCTAGTGAGGAATCAAAGGATTGGTCATTTCCATGATGCATATTAAATTGTGAATTATTCAGACAGCTTCTATCACCTCTAGCAATTCTTCATTGAATTCGTCCATTACTGTTTTGAGTAACAGTTAAATCCCGTTATTCTATTTCCAATAACCAATATAATAAGATTACGGAAAACTCATCGTTTCCCACTTAGATCCCACTTGTGGACCTGCCTGACATGTGATGTCACTCAGACGTCTTTTCAGCATGTGTCCATTTCATCTACACTTCCTTTTGCTTTCGATGGAAACAACAACCTGACAATAAACCACATTGTTTAGCGTCATATATTCGTACCCATTGGATCAATTCGCAACTTCTAATTTTATATTTCTATTTTTCTACAGCTATCAATGAAGGAACGGAAAAGAGAATCAAAGAAATTTGATCAGGTGGGGAGTGCCAATTGAAGTGTAGGGAAACATTTTACGACACTTCATGGTTCTGACTTAAAATGTTCAGACAAAGACAGATTCTACCTTTCTAATCGTACTCAAGTCGTTTGTCAGACTGTTGCAAATGTACTTTTCCTTTCAAACTAGTCTCCATGTAATAGTGCGATAACTGTCACTAAATCGAAGAGCTGACTTGTGACATAATACCCTCTGGCTGATTACATGTGCAGAATTCAGCCAACTGTGTCTGGGAAAATAAAATGACTTCTAATCCTACGTCGATTCACGCCTTTTTTTCGACATCAATTGTCTTCTCATTGCATCACAGAGTTCTAGTATCAGAGAATCACCTGCTCTGTCTCTTAAATACAACTTGTAGTGATTGTGGGTGAATAATCATTCACTAATTACGGTCAATTTCAACGCGTATAATATATCCCATCTACTGAAAAAGCATTCAATATGCAAAAAATGACCCAAATCTTGTATCTAACCAGCTTCAATTTTAAATTAACAGAAAGGCTAGGTAAATTTCATTCTAAAAGTTTAGTTATCCCATTAAATTAAATCGGTTTACCTTCAATTGTTAGCTGAACATATAAGAAATCTCTAGGAAAAAAGAAGTGGAGTAGGCTTCACGCTTATCACGCTATCCTCGATCTTTTATTAGTTCAAATATAGAGGTGGGGTGGGGGAGAATGGATGCTTGTCAACCAAATAATTAAATCACATTTTTATATCTTATAAACTCTATGATAAATATATATGTTGATTAGCAAAATACGTTAGTATGCAGTAACACCGCAACAGTTCGTAACAATTAGATGTAGGTATCTCGTGTAAAAAAACTGATTACGCGAATTCAATCATGCATGCTAAAGTCTAATTTAATTTTGTCATTGAATAACTAAATGCATATTTACTAGCCGTTGGTGATGTGAGTGCATTGGTTATTTTCATGGGGATATTTTCTGTGTATCCATACTCACATAATCGATGTTTGATTTTTATGCCTCAGTAGTTTACTTCAAAAAAATGATAATTCACGAAAATCAAATTAAAAATGACTCTATATGTCGAGAAAGAAAGAAAGATCAAACTAGTGGCGACATAGTACACAATACAGAGCCAGGAAGTCATGTTTGCCCAACAAGGTGGAAGAACAATTAGGCTTTATTGAGAAATGCCTAAGGGAAAATGGGTATGCAAAGGGATTCATCCTAAAGCATAGCAAAGAATAAGACGTGGAAGTGAAACACCCAGCTATTGAAGAGGAAGAAAGTGTTTCGATAAAGAAAGGAAGACGAAATTTGTAGTATAAAATGATATCACTCTATTTCACAGGTTCTCATCAGCTGCAGACTACCTGAAATTACAATGGTTATATAAATGATAATAACATACTTTAATGTTTGAATTGTAGTAGAGAAGAGATAAAATTGACGCATTACAATTTTTAGTTTAAGTTATCATCATCAATTTATACACTTTTAAAGTTGGA